CCACACCCTGGCCCACACCATGGCCCACCCCGCGGCCCATCTTGCCCCACACCATGGCCCACACCATGGCCCACACCATGGCCCACACCATGCCCCACATCATGGCCCACCATGCCCCACACCATGGCCCACACCATGACCCACACCATAGCCCACACCATTGCCCACACCATTCCCCACACCATGCCTCACACCATGCCCCATCTTGCCCAACACCATGGCCCACCCTGCCCCACACCATGCCCCATCATGCCTCACACCATGCCCGATCATGCTCCACACCATGCCCATCATACCTCACACATAGCCTATCACCCCCCACACCATACCCTATCATGCTACACACCACACCCCTTCGTGCCCCACATCATGCCCCATCGTGCTCCATCATGCCCCACACCAATGCCCCATGTTCAACTGATCAACTGTTACCGTATGTCCCTTCCGCCCCTCCCAGTACATAAAATAAAAGACATGCCTCACACCATGCCCCACACCATGCCCCACACCATGCCTCACACCATGCCTCACACCATGCCCCACACCATGCCCCACACCATGCCTCACACCATGCCCCACACCCTCCCCCACACCATGCCCCACACCATGCCCNCACCATGCCCCGCACCATGCCCCGCACCATCCCCCTCACCATCCCCCTCACCATGCCCCACACCATCCCCCTCACCATGCCCCACACCATGCCCCACGCCATGCCTCACACCATGCCCCACACCATGCCCCACACCATGCCTCACTGGTTAAGGATCGCAACCCTGATCCCACAGAGCTGAGGTATTTGAACCGTGACCCGTCCAGGGAGGGAGGTCGTTGCTCAGTCCATCGACCCACGATCAAACAGAATGTCGGATGATTTAATCTCAGTGACTTCCCCAACGGTCCTCGGACGGTAGAGGTTCCCCTTCAAGTTAATAAAACATTGTAGTTGATCCCTTCAAATCCCCCACACGGAATAGAAAAAAAAAAGGGGGGGGGGGGTTGACGTTTTGATTAAGGTCAGTTTGACCTGTGCCGCCCGTCGTCGTCCTTTGGCCTACAAGTTCTAGCCAAGTCAAACAAAAAATGCTGGCCTACATCCTTGCGTTCCGAGTGGCTTCAGTTGCCAGGTAACACGGTCGAGCGGAACCAGATCTTGGATAATATATTCGGCCATGTTTGCCTTACTTTCGTGTGGGACAGAAATGACATTCCCCCTGACAGCCTTCTTCTTCTTCCTCTCTTGTCAGGACGAATGTCTTTCCTTGTACCGCTACTTGGCTGACTGTTGAATCTAGTGTCTTTGCTTGTACCGCTACTTGGCTGACTGTTGAATCTAGTGTCTTTGCTTGTACCGGTACTTGGCTGACTGTTGAATCTAGTGTCTTTGCTTGTACCGGTACTTGGCCGACTGTTGAATCTAGTGTCTTGCTTGTACTGGTACTTGGCTGACTGTTGAATCTAGTCTCTTTGCTTGTACCGATACATGGCTGACTGTTGAATCTAGTGTCTTTGCTTGTATCGGTACGTGGCCGACGGTCGAATCTAGTGTCTTGCTTGTACCGGTACTGCCCAATATGCTTTAAGACGGCACGGAGTGTCTTGACTGTACTGGTACCACACCATCGCCTCATTTCACACATCCAACCATTCCACACACCCAACCATTCCACACATTGGCCCCGCTCCACACAATCGCATCCTTCCACACCATCGACCCATTACACCCAGCCAACCTCATTCCATTCGTCCCATGACCAGTCACCTGTAGCTTGATGGCACAAGCTTTTGTAACGGAGGACGACCTGATTGAGCCAAGTTTGTTCAACCGTCCTTCTGGTAGGGTTTGGTGTCGCGTGTCCCCCATAAAAAGCTTTTAAGCCAATACATTTTCCCCCCATAAATATTTATATTGAATAACTGATGTGCGGTACAAACCGATATCTTAATACAGGGATTATCAACCCTCTTTGAATACAGCGCCATTTTGTAAATTGTATCGGCCAAGAGATCACTCCGAGAGCAACATTTAGGTTAACCACGGATTGTGAAGCGGATTGTTTAAAGGCCGGCACATCGCGGATTGTGAAGCGGATTGCTTAAAGGACGGCACATCGCGTGATCCTCGGCACATCTCGTGATCCTCGGCACATCTCGTGATCCTCGGCACATCTAGTGATCCTCGGCACATCGCGTGATCCTCGGCACATCGCGTGATCCTCGGCACATCTCGTGATCCTCGGCACATCGCGTGATCCTCGGCACATCGCGTGATCCTCGGCACAGCGCGTGATCCTCGGCACAGCGCGTGATCCTCGGCCCACAGTGCATTTTAAATGACCACACAATATTGCACGAGTTTATTGGTTCTGTTCGAGAAAATTTTATTTAAAAAAAAGATGGACCTAATATTAATGTAACAATCGAAGTAAACAATAATCGAATGATATAATCTCATTTCACGACAAAATGTTTTTGCTCTGCATGCTTGACTCCCTTATCATTACACTGCTGTTCGCCACCTGGAACGGTGTTGTGCGATGATTGCTATGTCGGTTCCCTTCGTGTTTCTTTTGCTAACATCCTTAAATCGCAGCCATAGCCTTCCAATAAGTCTTGCCCCTTCTACCAAGTCTTGCCCCTTCTACCAAGTCTTGCCCCTTCTGCCAAGTTTTGCCCCTTTTACCAAGTCTTGCCCCTTCTGCCAAGTCTTGCCCCTTCTACCAAGTCTTGCCCCTTCTACCAAGTCTTGCCCCTTCTGCCAAGTTTTTCCCCTTCTGCCAAGTCTTGCCCCTTTTACCAAGTCTTGCCCCTTCTACCAAGTCTTGCCCCTTCTGCCAAGTCTTGCCCCTTCTGCCAAGTCTTGCCCCTTCTGCCAAGTCTTGCCCCTTCTACCAAGTCTTGCCCCTTCTACCAAGTCTTGCCCCTTCTACCAAGTCTTGCCCCTTCTACCAAGTCTTGCCCCTTCAACCAACTCTCCATACAGCAGATCCTCTGGAATATGGCCTTCTTACACTCTCCTTACATGGCCTAACCAGTGAAGGCGCCACTTGCGGAGAGCGTGCTGCGCATTTTGGCACGTTCCGAAACCTCTGCGTAATGGGCACCAGTGTCGAATGCGCAAAATGCGATTGAGACATCTTTAGTGGAAGCTGTCGAGTTCCAGCTCGTGACTGACATATGTGGTCCACATTTAATTATGCTGTACCAACATATGTTCTTTCCTAAGTCTCTCCCCGCCCAAACAAAGTAAGACAGGGATTCCCAGCCTGGGGCGTGGGGTGCGACTTCTGGGCTGGGCTGGGGTTACTACAGGCGGGCCACTGGCTTTATGTTATCTTTGTCTGTATATATATATATCATTTCCTCATTAACATTTGAAGGTATCTATTAAAAATCACAGGTTTTTTGTTTTTTTTCTAAAGTTTTACTGTCTGCAGCTGTCTTTGTAATCCATTTTTTTAGACTGATAGACTAAATTTGCAAGTACGTGATCAAATTTGCAGGGGACTCCAGAAAGTCAATCAATTCATGTAGAGTGAGAAACTGAGTCAGTCTACTCCAAGAGGGTGTGAGGCTTAGTCTATCGATTCCTAGAGGGTTTGATTTGTGAGGCTTAGTCTATCGATTCCTAGAGGGTGTGAGGCTTAGTCTATCGATTCCTAGAGGGTGTGAGGCTTAGTCTATCGATTCCTAGAGGGTGTGAGGCTTAGTCTATCGATTCCTAGAGGGTGTGATTTTTAGTCCATCAGTGCGCAGAGGGTGCGATACGTTTGTGACGTAACACTTCTTAGAGGGTGCTAGACTTTGGTCAAAAAATTCGTGGAGGGTGCAGACTTCATAGTCCATGTTGGGCACCCTGGCACACGCCGTAAGGCCTTAAAGACAACGCTCTGTTTCGATGTCAGGAAAATTGATTCCGATTAAAACATAAATAATTCCCAATTAAGTTAACTCTTTTTTAACCAATAATGACGTCATGTGTTTACTTCGCAGGCGAGAAACCTTACAGGTGTCAGTTCTGCGACTACGCCACTGCCCAGAACTCGACGCTCAAGATTCACCTCAAGCGGCACCACGACGGCACACCGACGTCGGACAACAACACCCGCAGCAGGGACGGCTTCCACCCGCCGGGGCCCAGGGGGGAGGAGGAGGAGGACTCGCTGCTCAGCGACACCTTCTTCGTGGGCGTCTCGGCGGACAGCCCGCCCCTGGACGGGTCGGTTTTGATGAGGACGCCCCTGACCTACGAGAAAGACGGATTACTTGCGGATCACAACAGACACAACTTGTCAGATCATGCGCGCATGGCGTCTGCTCTCGTTGCCATGGAGAGCAGCAGACTCGGTGCTGCACACGGGAAGAGGGACAGCTCACCAAGCTCATATTCCTACGCACTCATTGGAAAGGATGTTCCGAATCATTTTATTTCATCGTCGAAGATCGAAGCCACGCCCCATAAACACACTAGTCTTCTACCGAGCGTGCGTCATTCTCAGTTCGAAACCACGCCCAGAAAGGCGGCTGTGTTCATGCCACAAATGTCAGTCAGCGACCCGGATATGGCTCAACTGCAAAACAAGGATTGCCATTCGGGGTCAGAAGACGCGATGAAACCGAAATTGCCTACGGAGGACTCTTCGGCCCCGGACAGACATCACGTGGCCTCATCTCGCGCGGCAGCCGAGAACCTGCGAGAACCTGCTGGACGCCTCAAACGAGAGAAAGACGGCCAAGAAATTTATTCGGAGATGTTTCAGGCCAGACCAATCAAGAAAGAGGTCAAGGTCGACGAGATTTACGGAGCAGACACCGCAGCGCTCAACCCCGTGAGGATCAGTCCAGACAGACTGTGCAATAGTGATCCAAACCCCGCAAAGTTCAACGCAGCGCTGGATCACAAGCAGCAACGGGAGCAACACTCTTTGGCGGCGATAAACCTGACGCAACACGCGGCGGCTTCCGGTTCGTCTGGGCCTGCGCACTTTATGGAGTGCAGACCTGGGGGAAGCTCCACGTCATCATTATCGCCGCGTGTGGTGGTGAGCTCCAAGTCGGACAGTCGTCTGACAGCGGGATGGGAGAATGAAGATGATGACGACAGCGACCTTGAATTCATCGTGTGCCCCCCGTCTGTGAACATCCCCAACAAGGCTTTTGTTCGCGGGTAAAGTGAACTGAACCGTTCCGATTGGATCACTTTATTTGACCTTGACATGTCATTTTGAATTCTGATGTAAGTCCACCAGTGCCCATTCATGTCACCCGCGTGCACAATTCAATTATTTTAAAAACAGAATGACTTTGAGCTTTAAATAAACTTTTCTGAATTTTACATCAAACATAAAAGAAAACAAAAAAAATTGTTTCGTTTCAACTTTGCTAGGGGGTCGTATTTTTGTTGTTGTTGTTTGAAAAAAAAAATATTGAACGCATCTGAAATTAACATAGCTGATTTTCGTGTTATGTCCAAGAATAATGCTTAAATGATTCATGGCGGTAATCAAGAGATACCTCTTCCACGTGCCCGCTAATACACAATACCGGTGTAAACTGTAGGGAAAGTGGCTTTAGTCAAAGACCTGTGTGCATGGCCTCAAGGCGTGTAGCCATGGTAAATGACCCTTCGCCCAATGTTTCTTTGACAAATTGGCATATGAAGGAAATCGAAGATAGCGGGAGGGCATCATTTTTTGTCTAAAATCTACGGAAGAACTAGTTCCGGGCCTGGCCCAGGTGACCAAACGGCAAGGCAGCACGGAGGAGGAGTGTTAGATGACAAGAGCCGTTCAGCTGGTTCATATTCTTAATAGTATGTAACGGGTTTTTTTAATTTTTATTTTGTTCAAACATCCTGAAACTTTGACTAGTTTGGCTGAACATGGCGTAAGTTGAACGTGACCTATTGCACCTGTAGTTAGTTGTTTGAGTTGTTTTAGTTATAGGTATAATTGGTTGAGTTATATGTTTCAATCGCTAGAGTTAAATGTTCAAGTGGCCGAGTTTTAGGTATAACTGGTTGAGTTGTATGTTCAATTGGATGAGTTATATGTTTTATCCCCGTTGTTTATTGTATATTTTTTCCTTAACCGTTATATGGTTAAAAAATAAATTGACAATCTGTTTAGAGATGTAATTATTGATTTCGTACAACGCTAATTGTTAAACTATATGTGCATGTCATTACACGTGAAGCGGGTTAAATGACATTCATATGACGTCACATGATTTAAATGTATCTTCAAATCCGTTAATGACCATTTATTGACCATGTAATCTTCAATACGTTGCTGTGTAAAGCCATGTGATGGATGGAACCAATGACCGACCTCTTCGCGCGCTAACTCGTTACATTTTGACCACTCTGTTACCGAATCGGTTGTTGAAATTATTATATAACCATAACAACACAACTATAACAGGTGCATTGACGTTATCTACATAGCCCAGGGGTTCTCAAATTTAAAAAAATAAAAATAAAAACATATTTCTGCGACTCACCCCCCCCCCTCTCTTAATTTCAAAGCACTTCCGGCGCCCGCACCCCATCCTCAATTTCGCTTCATATCCTCGCCCACCCCACACCCCTTCCTCGAACAAAAGAAAAATAGGGTGGAGGGGGGGGGGGGGGGGGGGGGGGTGAGGAAGGGGGGGGGAGGGGGGGGGGAAGGAGGATGTAACTTCACAGAAACTAATTTTGATTCAGCTACCGCTACGTGTAATGTGTTAGTCTTGTGTGTGTGATCCCTGCAGGCCTGTTCGTGTCAGAGTGGCAGGCGTTTGTTTTGGGTGTTGAACTTTATTCTTTAATGTTATATTATGTTCTCATGTAGACAATAATGATGCCCAAGGGTCAATGTAAGTTTATGGAGGAGTATTCCAAAGAGTGGAACTAGATTAAAAAGGGACGCTATGAAAGTGAAGCCGAGTGCAGTTTGCAATAATGTTTTTTTGTATTGGTCATGGTGGACGGTCAGACTTAAAACAACACATCACATCAGTGAAACATATGACATAAGAAAAGACTGAGGGCTCCAAGCAGATTTCTAGGTTAGATTTCATAGTTCAAATTAGCATATTTTCCCCGGGCCCCTCTTTAGCTGGGGGGTATATCCCCCCCCCCCCAAACCGTCCATGAAAGTGTCCCGTTTTTTCCAGTTCATGATTTGGTCACCCTAGTCTATAATAAACATTCATATGGAATTACACTTAAATTACAGTAAATAAAATGTTTTTCTATGAATTTTTTCTGGTTTTTTTTTCGTGACTTTTTTTTTCTCCTGTGCCCCCCCCCCCTTAAAAAAAGATCTATTAAAACATTCGATGCATGAAGAATTTAAAATGCCTGCAACTTATTATCTCTCCCCCACCTCTTTATTTATTTATTTTTTTTAAATTATTTTTTTTCTGAAGATGAGTCACATTCTAGTGTTCAAGAAACAATTGAAGTTGAACATTTTCAACTACAGCCCCCCCCCCCCCCTACTACCCCTCGACACTTCTTCCTTGTTAAGAGCCTTTGACATAACCAGAAAATAACAAAGCCATTGTTTAAAATGATTTGCAGCACATTGTTGTATAGAGAGTTATAGACAATTATAGACAGTTATAGACATTTATTGACAGTTATAGACTCATGTGTTAGCTGAACTCTCAGTGAACTGTGTTACTTAGTTCATTTTTTTTGTTGGACCGGCTTAATCGTTCATTGAACCATTTGTTCGATAGACCGCGGACAATATTGTGTAGCGTGACGCGTGATTATTACACCATGTTGAACTCCCTGTGGAGTATGACGCGCGGTTATCACATTAAGTTGACCTCTCTGTACTACCATCTCGGTGATCATGACCATTCCTTTCCTCAACTGCGATGTCCCATGTCCGGATGTTTATAATTTTGCTCTGGACATATCGTGTTTGTTATAGTTATAGTTACCCGGTTATCATATCGTGTTTGTTATAGTTATAGTTATAGTTACCCGGTTATCATATCGTGTTTGTTATAGTTATAGTTACCCGGTTATCAGTTTACACGTTATCCCAAATGTCCTTCCGGTGACATTTCTGTCATGTTGATGTTTAGCGAGACATTCGAACCGCCAACTGGCCGAGCGCTTCTGGTGAATTGTGATATGTAATTGATGTTATTTCACCATGACTCTTATACAGTTTTCATGGAACGAAGTTACGCGTCGAATGGTCCCCACTCGCCACAATGGTGACCTCACGTTGAGTGGTCCCCACTCGCCACAATGGTTGACCTCGCATCGGATGCCCGGGAGAAATTATGAAACAGCAGAAGAGCAGAACCTTTAAAAAAATGTGATTTCATTAATTTAATTTTTTTGCATTAAATGAAACAAAACAAGGATAGATGGTTGGCGAATTACACCATCCAATGTACATTGATGGACTGACCTAGTTACACTCTGTTATGTAGGTGGATAGATGTGACCTAGTTACACTCTCCTATGCATGTATCGATTGAGGTGACCTAGTTAGTCTCCCATGTACATGGATAGAGTTGACCATGTTACACTCTCCTATGAACATGTGTGACAAGGTGAGCTAGTGACAATATCCCATGTACATGATTAGAGCTGACCTCGTTACATTCTTCTATGTTCGTGGAAGGAGGTGACCTACTTACATTCTCCCACATACTTAGAGGTGACCTAGTTGCACTATCCCATGTACATGGATGTAGTTGGACTTAATTGCCTCTTAATTTCCCCACCATATCCCCACTGTTCCCAAGGGCTTATACATTTCATTTACGTCTTTGTAAAATCTCTATTTTTAATGTTGTATGATTAACAATTTAAGAACTTTGTTCATGCTTGACATATAATATACATTTTAAAAATATAAATCTTTATTTGTTTATACTGTATATTTATATATAATATATATTTATATATATAGTTCGTCAGGGAAAATCGACCATGGCCACCTTAATCATCGTATATGTGCCAAGTGTGAACTTGGCTGTGGGTGCGCAGATGGCTGATGAGGCCGACTCTAGCACGTAATGTTATTGTGTAATAATTTCATTTGATATAATATATATTCGGCGTGAGAGAGATATAACGTGTTTGGTGTATGGTTACACTTGACTACCGGTTCTATGTATGCCATTTGTCGTTTTGTTTCGCAAGACATTAAACTATAATAATTACGTTAATAAAATAATGATATTTATTAAATGCTTTTTGTGTGTGTTAATTACAAGTGATATTTCTTGTGTTTCGAGATTGTTTTCTGTAATAATTAAGTCAATAATTATCTTGTAAACAGGGAATTTATTAGTTATTTCATTTATTTTTAAAAGTTTAAATTCGATGTTCTTACATTTATTAGAGTTTTAAGATTCTTTGAGTTATTCAGTAATATGATTTAGTACTTTTTGTTTGTTGATATCTAAGATTAAAAAAAAAAAAAGAATACTTTGTAGCCTATTAAATTAAAGAAACATATCAACACGGGTATAGGAAAGAATATAGAAGCAGAACTCCGCTTAGCCCCCTTGAACGGCTGAGAGAAAAAGACGAAAGGCCGAACCATCGGCCCAATAGTGCACGCCTCGAGAGAAATTGACTGGCTGGTCTTTGTATCAGCCAATCAAATTGCTCTTCGCATTTCTTGCTAATACCAACATTTTAATGGCGGCTTCCATTGATTGCTTCCGGTGTTCTGTTATTTTATAGGCATGGCAATTTGTTTGGTACCAAATGACCTCCCCACCCCCACCCCCCTCCAACCGTCCCTATAAATGTTTTGAAAGAATGTGACCTTGAAATATGCCAAAAGGCATAAGCAGCTGCAGGGCAGTCATTTATGCAGTTCACATTGAATCTAATTCAAATGTTTGTTAGCACTCATTTAGACCTCGGCAATTAGAGAATTCATCAAAATCTGCAAGTAAGACACGTTCGTTCTGAATGTAAAAAAAAAAAAAAAATAGCTTATGCATAAATTATGCAAACCAGGATATTCCATTTGCATAAATCTTGAGATTTGTGTTTCATTCATATAGATCGTACTATTTCATACAATTCCCTGCACTAACATACAAAACTATGTATGGTAGTTGGTCATTACTGGCACGGTGCATCGTTCAACCCCTGAC